ACAATTTGTAACAAGTATTTTTTAAATGTTGGTATTTGCGCCAAAAAACAAAAAGAAATTATCATTAGCTAAAAACTGTTACAAAATATATTCTAATTTTCATTTAACATTTTCTTGTAATTTCAAAATGTTACAAACTTTACACTTATTTTATAATTATTTATTATATTTTAACAATTAAAAACCGTCACATAATATATAATGTTCTATATTCATTTAAAACTTTTTTGGATATATAAAAAACCGTAAAAAATGATTGAATTACTATTTTTTAATTATTTTCAATTATTTTTTAATATATTACTATAAATTATTTTTTAATAATTTTATAATTAATAATTAAATTACCTATTATTTTAAATTACTTTAAAAATATGATAATTGTAATAATAATTTTATCATTATAGTAAAATTGATAATTTAAATCTATAATATAATAATTATTTAAAGTTAACCTATTTATTAAAATAAAAATTTATAATATGTATAATATATTTTTCATTTATTTTAATAACATATAAACTATAAATTTGATTTGCTTAAATCCATAACTTATAGATATAATCCAATTTAATAATGTGTTTGGCTAAATGTAATTTAATAAAAACTAAGATTCAACAATTTTCATTCTAAATTCCGTGAAATTTCTTTAGAACAAAATTGATAATTGTAATAATAATTTTATCATTATAATAAAATTGATAATTTAAATCTATAATATAATAATTATTTCAAGTTAACCTATTTATTAAAATAAAAATTTATAATATGTATAATATATTTTTCATTTATTTTAATAACATATAAACTATAAATTTGATTTGCGTTCAACATGATTAAATCCATAATTTATAGATATAATCCAATTTGATAATGTGTTTGGTTAAATGTAATTTAATAAAAACTAAGATTCAACAATTTTCATTCTAAATTCTATCAAATTTCTTTAGAACAAAATTCATTACACATTATTCTTCGACCAGTATATCTAACAAAATATAATATAAATAAATTTACGGATTTCACATCATATGTTAAACTTAATATATTATTCTTAATATATTATATCTAAAAAATTATACTCACTCTACTAAGGTCTCTAATTTGCATCTTCACCTGGTGTTCCCTTTTCTAGAAGTCCTAGCCAATGGATGATTTACTATCTTATTCTGTTTGTGAATCCAATTAAGAGAATTATCATTAACGAGGATTCGAACCCGAGTGACAAGATTGAAGATTGATACTCCAACCAGATAAGCTACTATATTTTCTAATAATAACTTACAAATAAATTATATTTATATATAAGTAAATGTATATCCGTGTAAATATATAAATATAAAATATATAAATACAAATATATTTATATATTTTAAATATTTACCGACGAGATATATCTGTCGGTAACTTATTGTTAATTTACCGACTGATAAATCCGTCAGTAATAATTCGGTAATTTCTATTAGTAATCACTTATTTTTCGATTATATATTCATCGGTAATTATTCGCCTTTAATTAATGATTTTCTTGTAGTGTTAATCCTAAATATAATCAAATCAATACAGTTAAACAATGGTTAGATAATGGGAGAGTCATGTCATGATTTCTATCCTTAATTGCATTTTATATTTTAATAATTTGGTTGTCGACTGCAAATAATTTAAATTCTCTAGTCAAATCATAACAAGACAATATTTTGAAATGTGGTCATTTTACTATTTTAAAATTTATGAGAAAATTGGCTATGATTTAACTATGTAAACCATTTTTACACTCTAATCATAAACCATTGTATCCCTAATGAAAAGCATTTAGGTGACTGACCTATGACACGTAATTTTAATAAAATCTAAACACATACCATTATAATCATAAGTACCAAGGCTCATAAATGAAACTCAATTACCTTAGGGGGACGTACATGCTTTTGAGTTACCCAAGGTGCTTTGTATATTTATGATTGTGTTTAGACTTCAAAGTTATGATTTATTCATATTATTCTTGTAACCTACCATTCATAATAGAATGCATTTGTGATAGTTGCCAAAAAAAGCTACAAAGGAAAAGATATTCACACATGCTAAGGGAGTATGTCTAGATTCTGATATCTTCAGAAAAAATATTAGTGAATCTCAAAATGTTATGCAATGTATTACATAGGTGAGTAATGTGTGTTATGAGGCTCAAAATGTTGTATAATATATTACAAAGGTGAAAAAAAGAGAAACCTTTGATTGTGTAGAAAGTAGTTTACTCTTCAATAATGCACGATAGGATTTGTGGGTACTTTATTTAAAAAGTTACCATATTTTATATTTATTATGAGACAAAGAGAGCTGCAAAACATGAAAACCCTCTTTAAAAAGTTCAAATAATTAAAAACAGAGAGAACACAAATCAACAGTAGAAAAAGATATAAAAGTTATATCATATACACCATAACTAGTATCTCATTTTTTTCACAATATACCGCTTATGTTGTGATAATGACGATAACAAACAATAAATTCTGAATCTTAATCAGAACTATAGCAAATATTTAAACTTTGTATAAACCTATCATCAATACTCTTAAGCTTCCAACTATAACAATTGCAAACTACATTTCAACAAAGTAAAGCTCAAGCAGTTTAAACATAGTATAAAGAGGTCAACAATAAAAGATGAATAAAAATTATATAACCATGAATGCTATGTTTTGGATATTACCTACACCACAAGAAATTTTATAATTAGCTAGGAAAATTATCTACAAAATTTATTTTTCACTAATTTGTAGCTAATTAGTTATGGAATAGTGAAAGAATAAAGTTATAGTTAATTTGTAGTAAAATAACTAGAAGACTAATATTTTTGTAGCTATTATCTCACTTAGCAACAAAATAATTTAGTTAGGAAAATTTTTGTCACTAATCCCTCGTTATAAATATTAGCTATATTACTTTTTGAAGCTATTTCTTAGCTAAATTGTGTAACATACAATTATAGTTAAACTGTAGCAAATTTATAGTAACTATCAAATTGAAAAAAATATTAAATTATTGGGAACATTCTTATAAATTATTTTAGTTTTATAAAAAAATATTTATAAAAAATACTTGTAAATTTCTCTAAAAATATATAATTATAAAAAATAATTTTTAATCTTTTTGAAAAAAATATCAATAAAAATTAATTACAATTTTTTCTTAAAAAAATTATTTTTACCAAATTTACTATAAATATATAATTATATATATATAAATTTTTTTATCTATAATAAATTATTTAGAAATAATTATAATTTTTTTGAAAAAATATCTAAAAAAATTAATAAATATTTAAAATTATTTTTTGTAAGTTTTTTATAAATTTAAATTTGTTAGAAATATTTAATAATATTTAAATTAATAGAAAATTTTTATAAATAATATTTTTTTATAATTTTTTTAGAAACTATTCTTTATAAGAAATAAAAAAAATTGTATTCAGAAATACTAATTTATTTATTATTTTATAATTCTTTTAATAAAAATCTAAATTATTTTTTTTCATCTTATTCGTACTTAGTTTTTTCAAACATAACGCCTCTCTCTGTCTTGTGCAGCACCTGCTCCCTGCCGCTCGCTGCTGCTCCTTGCCGCTCCCTACCGCCGCTCGCTGCCGCTCCCTACCGCCGCTCGCTGCCGCCGCTTGCTGCCGTTCCCTGCCGCCGCTCGCTGCCGCTCCCTTCCCCTACTGCTTTCGCCCCATCCGCTGCTGCTGTTGCTGCCGCTTTCGCTCTCGCGCCGCTCCCCTGCTGCTCTTGCTCCCGCTCCCGCGTTGTCCTGCGCCGCGTCCGCTGCTGTCCTGCACCGCTTCCGCACACGCTGCCGCTGACGTTTTCTCACGGTAATCTCTTTTTCATTTTGAATGTTACCCTGTGATTTGAGTTTCGGGAGGTTTGATTTTATTCAATATGTGTTTAAGTTTTATCCATCGTTAATTGTCTATCGCCAAATAGTTTTAAGTTTGTTGTGTATTATTTTTAGAGTGAACTCTGTTCTGTTGAGTAAGTAGCATTATTATACGTATACTATGTTACAACAATGCAGATTGATCCAAATAAAAGAAAATGTTATAAACGTATACCATGAACGGATATTGCGGGATAAGTAGAAGTATGATTACTTACCATCTATATGTTACAGAGAGAAGAGTGAATCCCACTTTTTCTGCTCGCAGATTGTTCTTATTGTATGGGGAGTTATTTGGTTCTCATTAGACCTCATGAAATACGTAGGTATTTAAATTTTCTTTTTACATCATGAAAAACAATGAACCACGAACATGAAAGACAATTCTTTTATTCGTAAATCTAATTAACAAATTCTAAATGTCTCCATTTTTCTATAACATGTGTATTTTGCCAAATCGTATTTGCCTAATGCCTCTTCCAAACTTGTGCAGTATATAAGACTCTGAGAAGTGCCATATCACATATTAAACTCTTCTGTGCGCATGAAACTAGAAACAATCTCACTCTTTATTACCAGGTAAGTCATATCTCACCCTTCTAATTAAATTCTCTTAATATTAATTGCTTTATGTATATGCTTTTTTGTGTGTATATTTATAGATAGCTATCCAGTGCACTCAGTTTTTAGTTTTGAACATTGGTTTGAATGACATTACTGTTCTTTTGGTGACTGTTTTCACTTTCAATAATGGTTGAAGTGTGTGCTTTTTTTTGTTTTTTTTTTTAAGTTTCTGTTTGGCTTTTGGTTGGAGTGAATCAGAGAGTGTTGGCCTCACCACACTAAAAGAGTTTTTGGAAAGATAGACATGAAGAGAAAGAGAATGTGTAGTAAATGGTATGGCTACTGCGTGTGATTAAGGTGTTGAATGGGGTTGGTGTTGAATGGGGTAAACAAAGAATCTATATAAAGGTGGCACTTGGTTCACAAAGAGTATAACAAAACCCCACTTTGCAGTGAGGTTGAGGGAAAAACAATGGGGTCGCTAATGGCCTCCGCCACACTCAGTCTTGTATTGGTAATTGTGTCTCTAAGCTTCCCATCTCAAATCTCAACTGACCACTACATCTACTCGTCACCTCCACCACCTGTCTCTCCTCCATACCACTATTCTTCACCACCTCCTCCACCAAAGAAGCCATATTATTATCACTCTCCTCCACCACCTTCACCTCCTCCTCCTACGCCATATTACTATCACTCTCCTCCTCCACCCAAGCCATACTACTATCACTCACCACCACCACCTCCCAAAAAGAAGCCATACTATTATCACTCTCCTCCACCACCTTCACCTCCCCCACCAAAGCCATACTATTATCATTCTCCACCTCCACCACCTAAGAAGCCATACTACTACCATTCTCCCCCACCCCCACCCAAGAAGCCATACTACTATCACTCACCGCCTCCACCTTCACCTCCTCCACCGAAACCATACTACTACCACTCTCCACCACCACCTTCACCTCCTCCTCCAAAGCCATACTACTACCATTCTCCACCTCCTCCTAAGAAGCCCTACAAATATCCATCTCCCCCACCTCCAGTGCACCCTTACCCTCACCCCTATCCCCACCCTCTACCCCAACCCCACCCCACCCCAACCCTTACCCTCACCCTCACCCACTGCTACAGATATGCCTTTCAACGTCGGTTATATAAGGCTTTCAACGTCTGTTATAGAACCGACGTTGTATAAGGCGACGTTGAAAGTAGTCGGTTATTCATACGCGACGTAGAAAGTGTATACTCGTCGCTCAAGCGAGTACACTCGTCGCTCAAGCGAAATTGAACCGAGAGACCCCTTTGTTTGAAGCTTTCGTCGCTTAAGCGAGTACACTCGTTGCTCAAGCGAGATGGAACCCGAGAGTCCCCATTGTTTGAAGCTTTCGTCGCTTAAGCGAGTACACTCGTCGCTCAAGCGAGATGGAACCCGAGAGTCCCCTTTGTTTGAAGCTTTCGTCGCTTAAGCGATTACACTCGTCGCTCAAGCGAGTTGGAACCCGAGAGTCCCCTTTGTTTGAAGCTTGCGTCGCTTAAGCGAGTCCACTCTTCGCTCAAGCGAGATGGAACCCGAGAGTCCCCTTTGTTTGAAGCTGTCGTCGCTCAAGCGAGTACAGTCGTCGCTCAAGCGAGTACGGGTTTACTACGTCGGTTATGGTATGAACCGACGTAGAAAGTCTATTTTTTTTTAAATGGACGCTTTGTTGATACAGGGTACCCAATGTTTGTATATATACATACCCGCAAATTTGAATACAACCCAGTGCAGACAATGTACAAGATATAAACAATTGAATGTGCATCCAAAAATAAAATTGTATCCAAAATTATCGTGTATCCAACTACTTATCTACCAAATACACTAACTACTAATCTAACTAATAAACTAACTAGTAAAGTAACTAAACTAACTACTAAACTAACAACTAAACTAACTACTAAACTAACTACTAAACTAAGTACTAAATTAATAACTAAACTTGCCTACTTCTAACTTTAACAAACTTATCGGCCCATGTGTTTCTAATATCGTCAATGGTCTCTATGGGCAATGCTTCCCTGTCTGAAAATACCTGTTACAAGAAAAAAGATAATTTAACAGAGTATCCAATGACACAATACTCGGGTCTTTTATTGAATACTAAATTTAAGCAAACCCGATTCCATGTATCCTCAATCTTGCTAACAACAATCACCCACATCCAAGTGCATAACATAATATCCGCACTCATAAGATCCTGGTTGCCTATTACACTACAAAAAATAATATATTAATTTGACATATAAAATGAATGATATAATACATAAATATAAAAGGACTTACATTAACAAAAATCCAATCTGAGTCGTGCTTTTGCTTGTGTGTACTCCATCAATTGTATTGCAAACCTTAAATGCACTGTGCAATACAAGATATAATGAAACAATTAAGTAACAAAACAATTAATAATTGTTTAAATTATTATAAGAATGTGTACCTGTTTACAATGTTTTTAAGGTCCGCATCAGGTTTCTTGCCCAAGTGAGCGTAACCAAGCCACAACATTCGCTTTGGGCAAACAACCAACAACCGCCAATGATTTCGCTACATTACAAAAAGTTAGGATAATACAATACACTATAAAATTTAATACGAATAATTTCATACGCTTAAATACTTACTGATGGTGGTAAGCACCCAAGTAAACTTTCTTCCTTGACTTCATCATCGAATTTTGGATGTATATTTGAACTTCTTCTCTCTTGTTTCCGATTTTTGTATGGATTGGGGCTCAAAAAATCCATACACATCTTGGGTGCGTTGCTCCTCCGACAATTCATTCATCATCCTAAAGTAGCCAGCTCAATGTACATTAAATATGACGATAACTTCAAATAACATAATTAGTAAATAAAAATAAATACTTACATTGTCCAAAATTGTAACACCGCTATGTTTAGACACCGATTGCCAACTCGCTATCTCCACAAAGATCGGTGTGGTCAATGTAAAGTGGAAAGTTCTTATTGTCTACCCCTAACTTATCAACATCCCACTTCACTTGAAAAGATTGAATATACAACTCGTGGGACAACAGATAGTAGTTGAAAAATTGGATTTTCTCGGGACATCTACTTCCTTACCTTTACTAGTATGGGAAGTAGGAACCAGCTTTAGGCAACCTGGGTGGCTTCGAACATCCTACATAAAATAACATTGACTTGAGAAATAATAAAAAACAAGTACTCGTACTACATATGATAATTAACGTAAAGTATATGCAAACCTTTTTCAAAATAGGCCCGATTAGATGTCTAGGCCATGCAATGAAGGTCCGGAGGGCCCGTCCCACCGTCATCACCTCGCTCGTGGGCACAGGTACAAGAGCATAAGCATCTCGAACCTCTTCAATGACCACTTTGGCCAAGTTAGGTGCTAAAGGCACACTATGAATTGTAGAGGCCCCCTCTTCAATTGAACCAACCGCCACCAATCGTGGTTCGGATCCATCCTCATCAACATAAAATTCACACTCGACTCGATTACACAAAAATAAGACATTAATTATTTAATATGCACATGAATTTTTGTCATTAAGATATCATCCACACATACCCGAGTGGTCGTTGTCTCGCAACAACAACAACAACCTCCCGATTAGTAGCAGGAAGGTCTTGATCGCCAGTATTTGGCTCAAGACAACTACCCTTAGTGCTAACTCGTGCGGCAGATGGAGGAGGAACATCCATAGGTGGGTGGGTAGGCCGTGTGACACCTATGGATGCTAGACTTGAACCAAATACACGCATCATCTCCTCCCGAACTCGTGCGGTAATGGCCGGTGTCGGCGTCGCCGTCGCCTCTTCAACCATCGTCGGTCTCGGCCTTCACTGTTAGACTCTCCTCCAATCCGGCCATCTCCTGCCGGCTCAATGATGTTGTGTTGGTATGGTCCGATGATGGAGCTCCAAAATATGCTCGAATACCCACACCAGCTCCAACAAGCACGAACACGCCCGGGTGTTCCGGGCGTCCAATAGCGAGTAGTTAATATATCTTCACGACCACGGGGAACGAATGTTCCCCGTTTATACCGCTCCTCTAAAGAATCCTACAATTGAGCATTATATATTGTAAAAAAAATTGATGAATGACAAAGCATGGTTAATGAGGTTGAAAGAAACTAATTTGCCTTACAATCCGCTCAAGCAATCAAGCGGGCCTCCTCCGATGTCATTTCACCGGAGGGCTTTTGCCTAGCCCTCTTCCATTTTTGATGACGTTTTGGAGGAGATGGTGGGGAAATTTCTTCCTGGCTTACACCGTAAGAGGCTAACTCGCCTTCTCGGAGTTTAGCCTTCTCCTTCATCATGCGTTGCGTCAACAAATCATACCCCCCACGAGACAGACAGTTGGGGGCCACATTCAGCTCTCCGAATCTCCTTTCCTTTTATTCGCTTCTCCTGCAACATAATATCATATTACAATGTGCTAAATTAATAAGACAATATGGAAACATACCAAAGTTTTTAAATAGTAACATACCTCCCATTGTGGACCAGTCCTACTCCCGACAAACTACTTCCAAGTTTCCTCATCTATGCCATAACGCCGACAAGGAGTTAATCCTTTGCTAATGGCTTGGTCATTAAAAATCCATTTTGAAGTCAATGTCGACTTGAATTGCCTCCACATTTTGGCAATAGATGACATGACTTTTCTCCTAACTTGTTCGAAGTTAACACTATCAAAGTGATTCTGCAAAAACAACAAAATAAATTAGGATAACAAAGTTTAGGATCTAACTTAACTTAACATAATTTAACGAGTTAACAAAACTCACCAAAATATCTTGCCAAATTAAATTTTTGCAAGTCTCCTCCACATAATCCCAAGATGGATGCAAAATAGATACCTAATTATGAACTTAAAACGTTAGATATCAATCCATTTACATATGCCGACCATATATGCATAACAAGTTAAAAACTCTAAAAAATTACATACCTTTTCTCTAGCAAGAGTACCCAAGTACGACCTCAATTGAGTGTGATGTGGCCCCGATATTTTGCCAGTCTTTGGATCCACACCGACAACCAACTTATCTCCTGCCATATGACGAACGGTCAACTTTTTCAACCGTGTGGCTTGTCGAGTCCTCTTTAGAGATGGGGGGGTGGACATGCCGGAGGAGATGATGGAGGAGATGCTGGAGGAGATGGTGGACGAGATACCATTTGCCTGTTAAAAAAAAAAATTAAGTTAAGTTTTTTCATAAATTGGAATATAAACACAATTTATCACACATTTGAAATATAAACACAATGTATCACATATTTTCAATATAAACACAAATTAGTTATGAACACATAACTTAAATAGTTAAGTTTTCCCATATGCCTTCATCATGATCTTTACGAATAGCATGAACCAAATCTTCTTGCATATCATCAATACTACTAGGCATCCGTGATGGAGTGGGGATGTTAATAATATCATCTAATTCATCATCTTCTTCATGCATAACATCATTCCCTTTTGCTTTGAGTACCACTGACCATCTGTCATTACATGGATCAGTTACATAGAAAACTTGTTTTGCATGGTACGCCATTATGAATGGTTCCTCCTTATGTCCTATCTTCTTAAGGTCTATCAAAGTGAATCCCATTTCATCAGTTTGAACACCAGTATTAATATCAATCCATTTACATTTGAATATAGGAACTCTGAATTGAATGTAGTCAACTTCCCAAATCTCCTCAATCACTCCAAAGTAACTCCATTCTCATACTCTTGTGAAATACGACTTGCATTTACCCAACTTCGATCCATTTTGGAATTTGAGTCTACAAATGAGAAACCCATAAAACGATTATTACTAATAATCGTTATCTCTAATGAAATCTATACCAAAGTAGATTAATTTGTAACGAAATTTCAACAGAATTTCGTCTATTTTTTGGTCAAAACCAAATTTGTATAAATTGAAATTATAGA